TAAGACTCATGTAATCTCCAGCAACTTCCTTCTTCTTTATTGTCATTTATTTATTAAAATATCTACATCAGGATAGAAGGAGTTGGAAAGATGGCATCAGAAGAAGTTCCCTGCTTCATTCCAGGGAGGATAACCTAGCCCAGAGGATAGCCTAGCCCAGAGGGCCACTGGACTCGGAGGAACCTGTGACTTGGGGCAAAACTGAAACACTTCCTGGATGCCAGAGGCCAACAGACCAATGCTGACCACGACAGAAGGGTCACTGAGGAAATTCCACTCTATGCAACTAAACAATAGAAATTTACTTCTCAGTTCTAAAGACTGGGACCTCCATGACGGAAGACTTGGGTCTAGGTGACTTCCTAGATAGCCATCTTTTTCTTGTATCCACACACTGCTGAATGATCTAGAGCACTGGAGAGAGTGGATGTAGAGAGGCACGTAGTGATTGCAGCCAGGTGGTGGGTGTGGTGGGGTAACATAAGAGCAGGATTCTAAGTCACTTGTAATGGACATTCTCCCTCATTTTAGATTTTGTTGATTATATCCTGAGATGTCATTGAACATGTTCGTGTATCTCTTGTAACTTTTACAAACTTAATTTTAGAAATGTGACCAGATCCAGATTTTACTTTTTTGGCAAAAGCACTAACTCTAGATGTGCATAGCATCTCTGTCTAACTTGCTAGGTTATAATGTCTCCAGCAGTTTGTCACCTAATGGCTCTAAACCTTCTCTTCAGATACTCTGGATTTGGATTCTAATTTTCCTCTCCCCTGACTATTCCTTCCAAATTTCTTTGCTAGATCCTCCTCCTCTCTCTAAGCTCCAAATATTGGTGTGTGGTAGGATGTCTTTAGTCCTTGCTTTGGGTTGAATGTTTGTGTCCCAAATTTTTTACGTTGAAATTCCAACCCCCAAGGTAATGGTATCAGGAGGTGATTAGGTCATGAGGGCAGAGTCCTCATGAATGAGATCAGTGTCCTTATAAAAGGAACACCAGGGAGCGCACTAGATCATTCAGCGATGTGTGGATATAAGAAAAATATGGCTGTCTAGGAAGTCACTTACACCCAAGTCTTCAATCATGGAAGTCCTAGTCTCTAGAACTGAGAAGTAAATTTCTATTGTTTAGAAGCCATCCAGCTCAAGGTATTTTGTTACAGGAGCCCAGACAGACATCTACAGTATCTACTCACCTTCCACTTTATTCATCTAAGCACCATCACCAGCCCACCCCTAAACTTCAGAATTGCCCCATCTGACAACTGAACACTGCCACATAGCTCATAAGTGAATGAATACTTTGATCTGATACCTATATTTGTATATGGACTAAAAACCCAGAATGATATTTACATTTTTAAATAGTTGGGGGGGATCAAATTAAGATTATTTCATGACACGGGGCTATAAACAAAGTTTTCTCAAATACCCAGATGCTAATTTGTCCATATATTATCTGTGGCTGTTTTCATGCTAAACCGTTAAGTAGTCATGAAAGAGAACATATGGCCAACCAGTATAAAATATTCATCATCTAGATCTTTATAGGAAGTTTACCACTCCCTGACTTAGATGATTTATAGGCATCTCCAATAATATGCCCCAAACCAAATTCCTTAATCCCTGCCCTGCCCCCAACCAACCCTACTCCCAGTGTTCTCCACTCACAGGAAGTGGCACTATCACGCACACAGTCACTCAGGTCAGAACTAATGCCCCAGGCAACAGCAACCCAGATAGCTCCCATGGAATCATTCATAAAATCTTTTGGCTTTACTTTAAAAATATCTCTCATATCTGAGCACTTTTACCCCATCCCCCCGGACCATTCTCCATCAGAGTTTCTGAACTTTGGCACTACTGACTTTTTGGACTGGCTAATTCTTTGCCGTGGGTGCTGTCCTCTGCATTGCACAACATTTAGTGATATTCTGGCATCTATCACTAAAGACCAGCAGCACCACCAATCCCAGCTGTGATAACCAGAAATGTACCCAAAAGCTGTCAAATGCACCCTGTGGGGCAAAATGACCCCATATTGAAGAGCACAAGTCTAAGCCAAGCCATCGCATCGTCCCTGATCTGGACTGCTCTTACAGTCTTGGCTTCCCTCTGAATCTTAGCCTCTGACTGTTTCACATCAAAAAGAGAGATCTGTTAATATTATGAGTCATCAAATGTTAGTTCTCTGATCAGAATCTCCTGATAGCAATATACTTAGAAAAAAGTTCCTCTGAGTAAAAATCAAACCCCTTATATCTCAAGGCCTTCCATGAGCTGACCTTGGCTACAGCTTTGGTCTTATTGATTACCTCTCTTCCCCTGACTCATTTTGCTCCAGCCACTCTGGCACCTTTGCTATTCCTAGAAAATTCGAGCATCTACTCTTAGTCTTTCCCCTTATTATGCCCTCTGTGCAAAATATTCTTTCCCTAGACATTGGCAAGGCTCATCCTCTCATCTCACTTTTGTTTCTGCTTAACCATCACCCTCTTTTCCCTTCCCTGATGATCCTGTCTAAAATTGCATGGCCACGGTTTACACATCTACCTGGCTTGATTCTCCACACAGTACTGCTCCCCCTAACATATTATATGCCCACTTATTTACTGTGCATTTCCTCCACTGGTTCTGTAACAGCAGAAACACTATATTTTATTCATTTTAGAATTCCCATTGTCAAGGACAGTTCCTGGCAAAGAGCAGATGCCCAATAAATAAATGTCAAATACATGAATGAATGAACCAACTAAGGAGCTTTTCAAACCACCGTGCCACTCGATAGTAAGGGGATCATGTAGTCTAATTTGAAGCAAATAAAATACATACTGCTAGAGCTGGTTTCCAGGTAGAAGCTGATTAGGAACAAGATAGAATGTTGAAACTTGGGTTATCTGAGCATGTCACCAGAGGCTCTATTTTGCAAACTTTCCTCAAGCCTCCTAGAGGGAAAAGGAGATTTGACTCACAAGCTCATGGGATACTGGGATTCAAAACCCCAAGAAAACAAAGTGAAAATTTCTACTCCAATTTGGAGACAGAAGGTTAGAAGCGTGCATAAAACGGAGGTGGGAAAGAAGCAAAAACATGTGCTACAGCTTGGACTCTGGACAACTACTAGCAAATAATGCTTTTCAACACTATAGTGGCTGGCCCTTATAAACTCTTCAAGGTATTTCAATGGAAGAGATGATTAAGTTAGGCTCCAATGGACTTTAAAGAACTTTTATTCACTGGCTTTAAGGGGAAAACATGACTCTCCCTTGTGGAAGAAAGCAGCAGGCATAAGAAGAGAGGAGGATCATGAGGGACCCAGTAACTTCAGGGGGTGACATTACAACAAACAGCCAGATGCCAGCATGGGGGCCAGTGAACTCAAGGAAAACAGAAGCATCTATTGCTTCTCAGCCTTTGGGCTAAGATCAAGTGGAAAACAGCAGCATCTGAGGGCGGCCATTCACCATGGACTCCCTTCCCTAACAAATTTATGAAGGCCTGGGTCTCAGGGAAAAACAACTGGGTGAGCAAGGATTTACCATCCCTTCTCTGGCCAAGCCAGGGAAATACTAGGGGAAATCTGCAACTGAGAAACCAGAAACCCAAATTACCCTTGGAGAAACCATGTGTTCTCAGGGGATGACACTTGTCAAATGTCAACCCGGTAATTTGAGCTTTAGTTTCTGGTCATTCAGAGTATATATATGGATCCCAAAGGCTGCTGTGATCAAAAAGGAGATCCACTTATGGGTGTGGTGTGGATTCCATGACCCCATCACTCCCTAAATCACAGCCCCAGTGGGCCAAGGGCACTTTCCTTGAAGAGTATCTATGTCTTTCCCATGAAAGCTCGTCTTCTCTCTACAGTCAGAGGGCCATCAAGACTGGCTTGGCTGAATTGCTCTCCAGGGTCTAAAGACACATCTTGTAACTATAGGACACAGTAACCTTTGGCAAGAATATCTACCAGGAGCTCCCAAGCATGGTAGGTGCCCCTTGAATAATAAAAGCTAACAGGTTGAATACTTACTGTATTGTATGACAGACACTTGCAATCTGCTTTATATACGTTGTCATTAATCTTCAAATTATTCCTATGGGTAGATATTATTATTATTATGCTTTTTGATTTAGCTATGAGGAGACCTCAGAGAGGTCAGACAACTTTCCAGAGCTCACAGGGTGGAATGAGATGATATCTTAATGCCTGTTCTATACAATGCTATTTTCTCAAAGTGGGTGGTCTCTCTTTTCTAAACAAGCATCCTGCTGCCCTCTTTCATAGTTGGAAGGGAAGAAGTGGCTCAGAAGTTACAACAGCAGAGCCAAATAGAAACTGTTTATATATTGTCCACTTCTCTCTACCCCAGCCCCCCACACAGAGCCACCCCTTCTACTGTTAGAAGATAATTTTCAATGAGTCTCATGTTTCTGCATGTCTTCTGTAGCAAAGGCACTAACTGCTTTTGTTCTGGATTATCTTGTCAAGAATGTCTGCAGGGTGAAAGCCTCAGAAGAGAGAGATAGTGTTTCCCCCCAGAGCAAAAAATCAGCATGCCCATTGCCCAAGTTAAATATTTCAGATTCCCTAATGTCAGCATTCCTCTTCTATAACGCAGCCCATGCTGTGTGAACAGGTACTAGCTGGCCCTCTTTACCTCATCCTGTGCAAATTGGGGCACAGAGAATGAGAGCAAGAAAATGCTGATGCTCTTGGCTACTGCTGCTCCTGTGAGTAATAAATAATCCCTGGTTCCTGACCTGGAAGTCTTGTCTTCCCCCAGCAGCTGTGAGAGTATGGCAGGGTACACTCCACACCATTCACAATTCTTGCCATGCCCTCCCTCTTCCCCCATGTCATACAGGTAAGAAAAATGAGGCCAGGAGAAGGAGTTGCACAGATGAGTGGCAACTCTAAGACAAGAGCTCATATTTTTCTCTGCCCACTCCAGTGCTCCTTCCCTGCCTCCCTCTCACAGACAAAGTCTGGGCCTTACCTTTCACCTCACATCTGAAAGTCTCGCTGACCACTCCAGTATTATTCTCCTTCTCCGCTGGCCACTGATACACGTAGAACGTGGTTCTGGTAGACCCGGCATCCAGCACGATTCCATGCTGAATAAAAGGGTAGGGAGAGTCAGAAACGGCTGGGCCTTTCTGAGGACTCCTTTTCCCAGTGGGTCACTGTGAACCCAAATACTCTCGAGAATGTACTCCATGCTCCTTCACTGAGATAGAGGCTGACCAAGAAGATAAATCTGTTTTCTCCAAAGCAACTTTGTCTTCTTGGATAGTAGGGGAAGTGGCTGGGGGAAGGTGGTCAGGTGTTTCTGCCTTGGCCACACATGAGAATCACTTGAGGAACTTTTAAAACTCCCAAAACCTAGACTGCATCCCAGACTTATTAAATCAGAATCCCCAGGAGTGAACCCAGGCATCAACATTTTTTAATGTTCCTTTGGTGATTCCAGTATACAGCCCAGTTGAGAGTAAGATCCCAGGATCTTATGTGTGAAGAGCCCCTGACTTCTCCTCATCAAGACATCTGAAGTAAGGAATAGAAATCCCATAGGTCTCAGGAGGGAAACAGATAATCAGTCACCTGCTGCCCTCTATTATTCAAACATCCAGTCTCTCACCCTGGGAATAAACAACCAGCTGAGAACTGAAAGAGACACATCACTATCTGCATCAGCCTTCAGAGTGAAGTATTCACAGATAAGAAGGAAAATGCCAAAATACAGACTAAGGTTGATCTATTGTCCCACTTTGGTAGTGTATTACTGGATGGGCAGGAGGGTGTTGCCAGGACAGTGCTGGGGGTGTCTGTGTACAGAAGAGTAGGCTGGGACAGTCTTGCCCTGCTCATATAAGGCACCAGGGAGTTTCACTTGAAGGTAAGGATCAGCCCAGTCTCTGGTCCAAGAATGAGCAGGAGAGAGCATGTATTAGCAGACTCTGGGGGTGGGAATGGGTAGTGCTGTCCTAAGCCAGTTGTGCCAAGAGCCAGCCAAAGGCTTTACCACAGTTCCCTCACCAAGGGGTTAGCCTACCTTGTTCCAGCGAGGAAGGTGAGGTTGTCCTGGAGGCAGCCTGACTCAGACGGAGTCTTGCTTTTACAACCCTGGGTAAATGCCCAGCCGGTGTGAGTTCCCGCCCCTTCAGACCATTTACTTTCAGAAGTAAATAGGAGATCATAGGCCTAATTGCCTGATGCTTACAGACTGCTCAACTAACACAGGCTGTTATATTTAGAAAAATCAGTAAAGCCAAATACACAAAATGACAAAGCACTCCTCCAATCTATTATTTTAACACCTTATATTTATATATTTCCTAATGGTCTTCTGGGCATACGGCTACAACTATACATCTGTGCTTCGACATGTCTTTTAAATCAACACAGGATTACACAGTACAGTCTTTTCCAGTGCTCTTTTCTTACTTTAAAGTAGATCATGGAATCTCTCCCTGCCAGTGAAAATAGACTGACATCACCCTTTTCAATATATTTATCCACCTACTGTGAGATGTATAAAGATTTATTTAACTGATTCCCTGATTCTGGAAATTCAGGAGGTTTCCAGTCTTCTATTATCACAAATACTTACTTCATTTGAAATGGGACCAAATTTTAAAAATCTTGCTCCAGCTCCTGAATCATAGCTTCCCCATTCTATTGAGATACACTGGTATACACATTCTATTGTGTACACTGGTATTTGAACTTGGACAGCCTCTTAATCTTAGCCCTTCAGTCTAATGAATGTTGATGGGGAATCCTGACAGGACCTCCCTCCCTACTACCCCAGCAACAAGGGCAGCATTGTTCACGGTGTGTTCCAGGCACAGGCCCTCATAAGATTAAAGTGCAGGTTGAAACTGAAGGATTAACAGGCAGCACAGAGGTCTGAGCCTGCACATGATCAGTCTGCTCTTATTCCTCCACCTGCTTCTGACACACCCGCACCAGCCTCTCCATGCCTGGTGCTGAACCACAAGAAAAAGAATAAGAGAGCCGCTACTTCAGAAGTTTACCTGACCTCCCCCAAGTCATGTTAATTCCAACCCTTCACCAAGACTATTTTCCTGGGTATGAAACCCAGGGTTTCTGGGCCAGGATGAGAAAGAAGCAAGAATGGCCATTCTTCTCTGTGACTCCAACTGAGATCCAGCTTTCAGCAGGGTGGGGGGCAGCCTGAGATTCTGGTAATGGCTCCCCCAGGGCACCGGCAGTGTGCTTATAGGGGCTTGGTTTTGAGGCCCATTGCTACTTCTCACTAACACTGATCCACCTCCACCACTGCTAACCAAAAGTGGAAAATTTGTCTTAAATTAGTTCTCAGAGATCTCTCCCCTAGATCAGTGGAACTCAATGTGTTTCCACAGAGTGGGCGTGGAGGAGGGAATAATTTCATTCAGTTCAGCTAGGTAGGAGATGTCTGGATGAGAAATAGTAAGCAATTTTCTTTCCTTATGCAATGTCTGAAAGCAAATGGCTTGCATAGGGAACTTAAGATGTACTCAGTGGGTCAACTTAAAGAGCCAATCTGTGTGAATCCATGGTCCAAAACTCAAGATCTATGCAAGCTTCTGACAAAACCAGAAGCAAAGGCCATGAGATCAGTTTTCTAAGATTGATTTCTTATCATCTCCATCATGATTATTTTTACTATAATAAGTAGTGTAATAAGCTCTTATTGAGTTTATATTGCCATATGCTGGATACTGCACAAAGGGCTTTAGTGCCATTGCATTCATGTAGCACGTGCTATTATCATCCCCATTTGACAGATGGGGAAAGAGGCACAAAAGGTGACTGGCCAAGGTCACAGACTTAGGATCAAGCCTGGGTCTCACTCTCAAATCTGTATTCATAGGCCCCACACTTTCACTGAGTTCCAAAGAAACCAATTCTAATGGGGTGACTGTTTAGCAAAAAGGTGTCTGGTATGGTGCGGCTGACTTTCCTTGTTCTGAAAAAAAGTGTTTTGAAAGCAAACTCTTAGTTGTGTGGCATGCAGATCTGGCTGGAGAGGACATGGATCAATTTGAATAAGGAGCCAGGGATTTTGGAGAGGAACACACCAAATATCCAACTCTTGCTCTTCAAAGGATAGAACAGGATGGGCCACAAGGCACCAAAGACCCTGGCTGATAGCCAAGGCCCAATAAGGCTTAGAAGGAAATGGTTTCAACAAAACCCAGCCCAGTAGTTGTACTTGGAAAAGTAATGGGCCACCACGGGAGCGTGGTCCAACACATGAACGAATGTGACCTAAGAAGGTTACAGCAGAAAATCTGCATCCCTAAATGGTGAGGCTATGCACACCCTTCAACAGTGACAGTATGTGGCTGCCAGAGGGAAGGGCAGCGGAACATTGATCATACTGGACTGAGAAGCTATGGTTTCTGCACACTTGTGATTGGGGTGAGGGAAGCCAAAGTCTCAAGAGGAAGATAATGGACTTAGTGATAATAAAGCAGATGGGGGCTTGAATAAAAAATAAAGCAGTGTCATCATGTTTATTCTCGAACTAGTAGAGCAGGTCAGGTCAGTGACAATAAAAAAGGGACTAGGGACATTTTTGATCCTTGAGTAAGTTTTAATAGTCCTGCTTTTAAACTCATAGAAACCAAGGTGAGGTAAGCCCAGGTCGTATATAATAACCAAGTGTCATGACATAACATGATGGTCTTGAGGAACATTCCAGGGCCCCCCTGAGAAGTTATTGTGGAGCTGTCCCCTCAGTACCAACTATCAGCTGCATGCAGAGGCAAAACAAGACTCCTGGTATGAAAATATGACAATTAAAAAGTCCCATATTCATTAAACTTCACCCCAACAACCACCCTTCCTCCCCCTAGTACTCCAAGACAAAAGGAAAGAGGTCTTTCAACAACCAGAGCAAAGCTGCATGCAGAATCTTCTCTAACCGTGTCATTCTGTTCCTGATTCAACTGGCCCAGAACAATTTTTTTCTCATATTTAAACACTCAAATAAGCGGAATGGGCCTTCTGAGCCAATATCCCAATGTTGTACAACTTCCTGCCCCCTATGTCCATGACCAGGGTCTCCTAACAAGAATCTGAAGAAATTAGAAATCTCTTCTTTGAACTGTCTGCTAGCTGTGGAGGTTCTCAAATCCTCACTTAAGGTCAATGCACAACCACGGGACCTTCTATACCAGTTCTCCTGTTTTCAATCTGGTTACCAGTCCATACCCCTCAGAACTTAGCACTCTGTGGTGTCCAGCTACACACCTTCTACTTGCCAGAAGGCTTTTTCCAGTAGCCGCAGCCTACCAGAGCTCACAGTATGTGGGAAATGCTCGAGTTAACAACCCCCAGAGGGGAGCCTCTCAACCAATGACTGATGGAATTGCTGTGTAAATACACCCTTGAGTAGGACCACAGGTGTTTTCTAAGTCCTTTAGTCAAGGACAGCTCTGGGGTGAGTTCCGCCCTGGCGCGCAGAGGTCTGCGCCCAAGATGTCCATGGTAACTGGCTGGCTAACAGGCCCTCCCTTGGCTTCCTCCTCTTGAGTCTCTTACGTTTCCATCTCCTCCCTACATCCTGGTCTCCGCCCCAGAGGACCTGTTTGCTCTCCCATCTTTCACTCGGAGAACCCAGCCTGAGACAGTAGGTTTAAACACGTGTGGTGCCTTCCCTCAATGGTGCCTCTGGGAGCTACTTGTCTCTACTTAGTTTACTCTTCTAATTCCTCCATGTCCCTCCAATGTGATAGAGGATTTATCTCTTATCTCCCAGAACAAGTGAAAGCCAGCAGCTGGCAATTCTCCTAACCAGCCCATCCCTAACCTTTGTGGGTCTCAGGAAAAAATCTTATAAATGAAGGCCTTTGTCTTGTTTCTACCCCCTCCCCCCAGGCCTGTTCTCAAGACATCCCATACCACCCAACTCCTGGCAAATCCACAGAGTAAATAACCTTGTGCACCTGTATGTTGACTGTAGGTAGGACAGCTCAGACCCCACATCTATGCCCCTTATTAGCAGGTGTCCCTTTGCCACTCCTCAGATCATTGGTGAGGTCAGTTGTCAGATAGAGGCCCACACTGACCCTGACTTCTAGAATCCCAGGTAATACAGCATGCTCTAGAGGGGAAGCATGGCTTTCATATTCCCTTGTCCCATAGAGAGAGATAAACTTGGAGTGCAGCTAGAGGTGGTTCCTCTGAAATATGAGGCCCATGGCAGGGGCCCCAGTTACCAGGGTCTAAAAATGGTATTAGCTTTCAGCTGAACTGGGGAGTAATTCCTCCCCACCCCCACCCCAACTCAACAAAATTTCTGGCATGTACCCACCCATCCTCCCCAAGTTCCCTCCTGTGCAATGGAGGACATGCTCTATCAGAGGCCAATACCTCCTCCTGGTTTCCCACTCAGATCTTAGGATAGGGGGAGGCAGGTAAATAAAGAGAGCCCTGGCCTTGTGAATAGAAGGGACTGGGTTTCAGTTCTGGTCCTGTCATCCACTGGCCAAACCTGTTTCCTCACTTGCAAAGTGGTGGTCACAGTGTTCACATTTGCCCACCTTCTATAGTTGGCACAGGGTTAAGTGAGATAATTTGAGGAAAGGTATTCACTAAGCTGAACAACTGTCTACCAAGTAAAAGGAAATCATATTACTTCTAGCTGCATTCCAGATTTCATATAGTTTATAAAAGAAGGCAGTGCCTGGAGCTTAGGAAAATAGCTCCTCTTGGCTTTAGCTAATGTCTTTGGACAACCAGATAATTTGTTTTCCTCTCACAACTGGATAGTTGCACAAGCTTTTGTTTTTATTATTCATGTTATTCATTAGGGCTGATATTCTTAAGCAAAATGTCCTATAAAGGCACCAAATGTCATTACCTAAAGGAGATTTTACTTTAATCCTTTAGAAAAGTGACCTCAGAGCGATAGGTCAAACTCACCCCCAGAACCAAAGCCATATTAGTCTATTTCTTACCTCTTAAAAACTTCTATTTCAAACACAGTCTTTGAACAGTCACTAACAGCAGGAAGATGAAGAAAGGTCTCATAAGGTCAGAGTAAATGCTAAGTGAAACTCAAATAAAATGGTTGGTTAATAACATGGTCCCCTACAGCCCTCTAGCTAAGGAGCATTTTTTTGTTACATTTTTGAAGAGTAAAATCAAAACCAAAGGAAGGCTTGCACCATAGATGATAAATGGTCCTCAAAGCCTAAGAAACATATGTATGGCCCTCTACAGAGGGCCAATGCCAAGGTGAAATATATGATTCTCAGCCTGCCAGAGATCACTCAAGAGGTCATCTGGGGATGGACTTATGATGGGCTCACGGAGACCTCTGGAACTGAACAGAAGGTCGTGAATTATTTTTTAGGGGGAAGGATCAGAGGGACCACAGTGCACTTTTAAATCCAATAGAAGTCACTTAAATATAGCTCAAGGTAACCATTCTAAGTCCTTGATAATCCCTTTAGCCAGGATAGACCAGAAGAGGAGCCTGCGTCTGGGTCTCATAGTCAGACCTGTGAGGTCTGGAGGAGAGGACAAACTGGTAACAATGGAAGCTGCACTAACAGGGAAATCTTTGGAAGGGCTAGAAATCCCAGCTTTGTTCCAATAGTGAGGCATCACAGCAAGACCACACAGTTCTTGAAGGTGCCCACCACCATCAATCTGTAACCTTGGACATCACAAAGCATATCCAGACTTTCGTCCGTGGGTCTTATACTGTTTTTTCCTGGCTCCAGCTCAAGGCAGGGGGGAAATATTCTCTTCTAATTCACGATGTCAGAATAATTGATGCCATAGCCCATTTCTTCCCTTCACACTCACCTTCGGTTCTGGAGAGACAACCACTTTATGGAAAGCCTGGACGAATGTGAGAATTACAAGAACCACAATGCTCACGGCCAAGACCACCGTGGTAATGATGGCTGGGATTCGGGTGGTATTGCGGCCTAAAATGGGGAGATCCAGAAGACACATGAGGGGAAAGTAGAAGCCCGGCACTAGCCTTCGTTATATAATCTATGAACTGGGCTCATAAGCATGTACATTCCATTGGCCTTAGTAAGACCCACACTTTGAAGCAGAGACTCCATGGGGCTCCAATCCCCTTCCCCAGCACAGAGTGGATTAACACTTTGGTACTGAGTATGAACTCAACTTCAGTCATTTTTCCTGTGTCTACAAGTGAAGGAATAAGGTCTCACCTACAACTTTACAAATGAAATGTAACTAGACGTCGATCCACGTTCATCCCAAAGGGGTCACAGAAAACATGGATTAACATGTCTGCATATTTAAAAGCAAAAAGAGAAGCCCATAACTAATCTTCAACTAAATATATAGCCTCTGAATAAAAAATGTGTATTGTATAATAATATAAAGTATATCATATTTGACTATATTTACTAAGTTTAATAGTTTGTAAATAGATGATTAGGAGCTAATAGACTGAACAAACTGTTGAGAGCAATGAAAATTTTGTAAATAAAATAGCAAATAGATTTTAAAAAGCAACTAGTACTGGGTACTATGTGAAGTTCTAAAACAGGAAGGTGATAGAAATCAGAACAGTGATTGCTGGGGGTTTGGGGCAATTCACTGAGAAGGAACAGGTGGTCACTTTCTATGGTAATGGAATCACTCTATATCTAACAGTACTGTGGGGTATAATATAGGTGTGTGCATTTGTTAAAATGCATTAAACCTTTCAGCATCCTTTAGGGAAAACCTGAGATTTAAAGTACACAAGCTCCTTAGTTATAATTCCCCTTTAAATATTCTTATAGGCTGCACCTACTCAAAAAAGACATCCTTTTGGAATGCAAGAATATTCAATTTAAGGGCCATAACTTAAGACCTACTTATTTCACTATATGTAAATTATACCTTATTTTTTAAAAGATAAAACATTTGATTTAAATTCTAATAGTATTAGAAGAACTATTATGGCATGAATATAAAGGGTGAAACCCAAATGACTGATATATGATAAACACTAGCATAAAAGAAAGCTCTCTGGATTCAGAGAATCCTAAGTGTCTTAGCAATTGGGTATTTAAATTTAAATTAATTAAGATTAAATTAAACTAAAAACTCAGTTCCTCAGTCTCAGCCATACTTCAAGTGGGTACTAGGTACCATATTGGACAGGGTCACACAGAACATCTCCATCATCATAGAAATTTCTACTAAACATTGACTATTATTTCTAGGATACATATTTCTAGAAGAAAAAAGGGCATGTAGATATCACTATGATAGAATTAGATTCAGCCACAATACCCAATCACATCACAATATTCACTACTTGGTGAGGCCAGTCAAGCAGTCGATCTTAATGACGCAGAAGAGCCAAGTCTTTCTGCCTCATCTAATTCCCCTGCAGTAGAAAAGCCACCACAGATACTTCCTAATGTCAAAGGTGGTCACTTAGTTCTTCATACTTGTCACTGGGACTGTGAACTGGTACAGCAGCCATGGAGGGCAATTTGTCAATATTTATCAAAAGTACAAATGTATATACCATCAAATTCTCAATGCTACTTCTGGAAATACGTGTTCTGTATGTGTAAGATGGCTATCCACAGTTACCCATTGCAGAATAGTTTGTAATAGCAACTATAGGGTAACTAATCATTGTGTAATCGACCTTCAGAGCCTGTGAAGGGGTCCGAGATGACTTCCCTGTGTGTGTTGGCAGAGGTACACGATCACCCAGGAACTAGTTTAGCCACAGAGGCAAGTTTTGCCTCAAATTTTAAAGAATGCATGTCTGTGTCAGTTACAGAGGTTTAAGGGATTTACCCCCCATAACTAACAAGTTAAACTTGTCCTTTGGAAAGAGCATAACAAGTATGTGTGATGTTACAGTGTATTGGTTAAAATTCAAAATGAGTTTGGGAAAACCTGGAAATCAGAGTAAACCAGCTCCTTAGGTACAATTTTCCTTTACTCCTTAGGTACAATTTATAGATTCCTATAAATTGCCATTGCATCCTAAATGCATATCCTATTGGAAGCCAAAATTATCTCATTTAGGGGCACGGCCAAAAAGCATCTGTCCATAGATAGGAAGGGGGTGCTATATGACCAGTTTTCTGATCACAGTCACACATTGGCCTCCCAAGTCCTCTGTGTTTCAGCAGTTTTCAGGTAAAACGCTATGATTACCTTAAGCAAACCCTTGCCCAGCAGGAGAACCCAAAGCAAAATGGCCCAGACCAGGTTTCATTCATTTAAGGAATGCAGCCCAGAGCTGTGCTGTCATTAGGGTTGGATAAACATTGTAATTACAAGATGCCTACCTGAGAGTGGAGAGGCCAAGCCTTCCCCCCCCAAAAAAAAAAAAAAAAGCTCCAGAGACGGGCAAGTTGGGAAAGCTTGGAAGTGTGTGAGTGAGTGAGTGTGTGTGTGTGTGTGTGTGTGTGTGTGTGAATTCTACAGATGTCACTGCACTATCAAAAGTAACAAGACTGACCCATGATGGGGGTGGGGGAGGCTGCAGGCCCCATGCCAGCAACAACACTCTACTAGAGGAAAGAGCTAAGTACTTCACAATTCATCACAAAATCAACAATCTACAGCAAAACTTACACGTGGCTGGGTAAGGGAAACCACAAGGACCAAATTAATGGATTATGCAAACCGGAAAAACCATTTAAGCGAAACATGCATGTTAGTCCTTGTTTTGTGCAGCTTTGATGAAAAGCATTACTTTTAACTGAGGAATGCCAATGGTGAAAGCCCCAATGAGCAACTGAGTCTCCAACCAAAGAGGTGAAACAGTTTTTCTTGCAAGAGACGTGCATGAAAAAACCGTGGGCTTGAAGCTGGAATTCTCATGTGATTTGACAAAATCATCCTTGCTGCCTTGCTGAGCGATACTGACCTTCTTGCCCAAAAGGTTGGCGGGTCACCACAGTGAGCATCTTGCCTCCCAGCTGCAGGTGAGAGAAAACAGTGTGTCCACGGCCCCTGACTTCAGGAGTTTGAAAAACGTGCACAGCATTAAACATAAACCCACTTCACTTCGTCCAAATCAAAACCTCATGGGGAGCAGATGGGCCTAGAACTTCGAAGATAGCCCCAAAGCTGGGCTTAAATTCTAGTGTCACCTCTCCAGATGCAGGTGAAGGACTGAAAGAAAATTAAACTTAAAAAATTTTTCAAAAAACAAGTATCTTCTCTTGCACATTTTCCCACCTGTCCACACAGCCCGGGCAGAACAAATCTCCCACGCACTACTATTAACCGTCCACAGGGCTGAGGCAGGGCTGTTCTTCAAAGCACAGCGGCCAGGACGGGTTCTGGGGTCTCGGCCCGGGAGCCTGGAGTGGCCCCTTTGGAGATTCAGGCGCGGTGGCTGGAAATAGCCGCAAGAGGAGGAGGTCGCCCCCACCCCCCGCCCAGGGACGCAGCGCCCCAGCCTGCGGGAGGCCCACGGGCATCCGAGCGCCCAGCGCATCTGCAGCCCCGCAGGGGCGCCGGGAGAGCCGCGTCCACCCCCCCTGGCGGGCTGGGACCGCCTCCCTGCGTGCCCAGGATTTGGGGCTCCCGTTCTGCGGTCCCTCCCTCCAACACTCTGCGGGCTCCGATTCCGTTTCCTTCCCTCCCAGCTCTCAGGCTCGCGAAGCTTCCCGTTCCCTCCTGGGCAGCCCCGGCGCGGGGTGCGGGTCCTCACCTGTGCGCAGCGCTCCGCGGGGGACCTCGAGCGGCGCGGCAGGGCCAGCGCCCGACAGCGCGCCCCGGGGCTTTTGTGGCGGCGGCGGGGTGGGGGGCGAGGGGGGGCGGGGGGAAGGCGGGGCGGGGGCGGGGCAGCCGTGGCCGGCGGGCGGGGACCGCGCCTCCTCGGGCCACCCCATCTCCACCTCCGCAATTCGTGGAAGGGGAAGGGAGGGGGCGAGGAAATGCTTCTGCCTCCCCCGGGCGGTCCACTGTCCCTCTGGGACCAAGCCACAGAGCACTTCACCTTGCCCTTCCTGGTTCCCTCCGCTGCACCCGAAGAAGACTGGGCCAGGCCTTGGAACCCCACACCTCCCCCTCTGAACCTGCCTTGGGGAGGGAGAGAGGTGTCCACTGCCTGTCTCCCTCGAGGCCAATCATCTTCGGTCTCGCTTCTAGTTTCCTTTATGGTCATCCCAAGTCTAAAGGGGAAGACGTGAGGGCAGAGCAAGGTAGGGTAGATGCAACACCCTGTGGGGTCTCAGGGGTAGGCCTTGTTCCCCATCTTTCCATGGAGCTGAGGTTTCAGCTGCACAATGTTGGGGGTGAGGTCTGTAGGTCCACTGGCCCCTAGGTGGGGGCTGCGAAGTAATGCAGAGCTTCCCTCTCAGGTATTTTTTATATATATATTTTTTAATTTTTTACATCATTGTTCATTTTTTTTAAAGATTTATTTACTTATTTGTACAAGCATTGGGTACAGTCAGAAGCGCGGGAGGGTGAGAGAATTCACCAGAGCCAGAGTGGGGAGCAGAGCAGGCAGAAGGACCGAAGTACACTGCTGAGGGGAGCAGCGGGCGGCAGGAGAGGTCTGCGCGCCATGTGGGACCCTCCTCTGGTGGCCGGGGAGCAGCTGGGGATCGAACCGGCGCTGCAGAGGCTGGGGCAGCTTCGCAACCCAGCGCTCAACCGCTGCGCCACCTGGGAGGCCCTACATCATTGATTATCTTTAAACAGGATTTGCTTCCTCCCACCCCCTCCGGTGTAGTCCCCATAGTTTCCTTCCCCAATGCACCCGTGCACCATCACTTCAGTGCCCTGTGCTCCTCTCTCCCTCCCTCTGATCCCTCTCCCTCCTCCTCCCCTGCAGGATGTCTCTGATTTATAATTGTCCGTTTTTGCTTTGTTGTGTTTTGTACTGTTATTATTTTAACATAACTGACCCTGACATTACGAAGGGACAATCTCACCGGTCATTGTGCAATGCCCTTCCACATTTTATATGGGTGTCATTTGGTCAAAATTCAGAACCAGGACTACCTGGAACCGGACAAATAGGAAAGATGACCAAATGCAACCTAGGGACTGCCAAGAGTCAAATACTCTGTTTTGGAGTCTGTTTTGGAATCAGCAACATGCAGCTTCCTGGCCCTTCTGAATGACCCCAAAGACATTTGGAATGATCTCAGTGACTAAAACAGCCTGGTTCGGGCACAGGAATATACTAAGAGAGCTAAAAAAACAAAGGAGAGTGTCCAATATCAGACTAGTGGATATGGGATTTAGTATAACACAAAGAGGAGGTTGAAAAAACACATTATTCAATAACTGGTTTTGAAACTACTGGCTCACCATTTGGAAAAAATCCCACTCACATATCATTTGCAAAGATGGGTTTTAGATAGATTAAAAGTTTAAATATAAAAAAGGATTTAATATCCTAAGAAAATATAAGAGAACATTTTTATGATCCTAAAGGAACAGCCTTTTCTAAAACACAACAAAAGCAGGAAGATCAAGTCAATAAATGTGGATGCATAAAAATGCAAAACCACTACATGGAAAAGACAGCCAAATCCTCCTTAAAGGATAAATTGTGGTGACATATTAAGAATTTAATATTAGAAGGTTAATAGCAAAAAGTGGGAAGTCAGAGTATAAAATGATCATACTTGTCTATATGAAATATCTGAATATATGAATATCTAAAACAGAAAATAACAGAAATATATGAATATCTAAAACAGAAAACTGGACAAGTAACATGCACTCGTCAATGGACAAAATTCACATGGCAAAGATACTTAACTTCATTACGTACCTCCAAAATGCCAATAAAACTTTGCTGTCTTTAAACAAAATTTTTGAAAGACAGACCAGCTTAGCAAAGCTTGAAAAGATCTGTGGTGCTGTGTTAGAGAAGGGGGCTAGGAACAGGACCTTTTCAAGCTCTGGAATGTAACATGTCCTGGTTCTGCTCCTACCTCTCTAGATGTTTTTTGCTGGCTTGCATTCCTCTCCCAGAAGATCTCATGACACAGTCTTGGGCCCTCTTTTCTCGTCATGTCATTCTGCACATAACCTCATCTATGCGAATGGCTTCCATTCTATTCACAGAAAGACTCTCAAGGTCCTCCCCAGTGGTGCAGTGGTTGAATGCTGGGCTGCAAAGCTGCCCACAGCCTCTGTAGCACCAGTTCGACCCCCAGCCACTGGTAGGGGGTCCCACATGGCGCGCAGACCTCTCCTGCTGCGCCCGCTGCTCCCCTCAGCAGTGTGCTTCATCAATCTGCCTGTTCTGTTCCCTGCTCTGGCTCTGGTGAATTCTCTCACCCTCCCGTGCTTCTCACTGTACCCAGTGCTTGTATAAATAAAGTTCAAATCTCTACAAATGCATGTTTTCATACTGTGCCCACATCAGAGACCCAATAATCTTCCACCATACTCCGTTGGGGTCCCTGCCTTTCTGGGTCCCCTCCTGCTACCCTCCGGTTGCCTCAGTTTTGCAATCAGACTTCAAGGGTTTGCTATTGGTTTGGTTTTATGTGGCTCTTTTTTTTTTTTTTCTTGTAGTCCGCATATCTTTTGGATGTCTTAAAGGCACCTCAGTTTATTAGGATCAAACCATCAAGCCATCAGTTCCTACAGCATTTCCACTCCTAAGGGATGAGAGCCTCACTCATTCAGATGAGCCAATCAGAAACCTGAGGGTTATCTTTGATAAACTTTTCCGCATTCCTCATAATCAAGCAATCACTGCTGCTGATTTTCACCTCTTAATTACCTCTCCAAATATACTCTATTTCCACCACTCCAACTTTCTGGGCCAATGCTTCCCAGTCTGGGCACTATTTTTATTTGAGGACAGATAAATCTTTGTTGTGGGAGAGTGTTGTGTTTTGTAGGATGCTTATCTAGTACCATCCCTAACCTTTACCTGCTGCTGACATCCCTTCCCCCTCACAACACACCGTGTGACATCTGGAAATATCTTCAGATACTTCCAAGTGTCTTCCAAGGGGTAACTTTCTCTGGTTAAGAACCACTGGTCTAAGCTTCCATCTTCTCTCCCAGGTCCTGGCCAGAGTCTTGTTCATCTCTCAGTGACTTCTTTCTCCTTTTCTGATCCATTTTCCTCACTGCCACCAGCCTCATCTTTTCAAAACACAAATTCACATTGCCAGTACCCTCCTTAGCAAACTCTTCTGTGCTGTCCACTTTTCAGTCAAAATAGACTCAACTCCTCCACATAACTTGCAAGACCCTGCACTGTCTGGTCCCTGCCTCCCTGTGAGTCTCTTTGGGCTGCCTGCCTTAGCCTTCTTACTTTAGGGCACACCAGTCTCCTTTCACATTTTCCAACACACCATGTTTCCTCCTGGCACAAGCCTTTGCACATTATTTCCTCTGCCTTCAGTTTCTGTTATTTCTTCTACCCTTCCCTAATTAGCGCTTAAAAAAAAAAAGTATTTATTTATGCATACAAGAACTGGGGCATAAGCCAGAGGTGTGGGTGGGGGGTAAGACAATTCACCCGAAAGAGTGGGGAGACTGCTAAGGGGAGCAATGGGTGATGCAGGAGAGGTCTGCTGCACCACCTGGGTCAGCTCCCTGGCTGGAGGGGATCAAACTCATGCTGCAGTGCCACAGTGGCTGGCGATAGCTGGATAGCTTGATAGTGCTGTCTTTAACCCGTGTGCCACCAGGGAGGCCCCCTAATTAGCTCTTATTTTCATTCTGGCTCAGTGACTTCATGGATTCCTCTCTGACACTCCCCACTGTGAGCCATACTCCCAACAAGGGTCAGATTAGATCCCTCTGTGCTATGCTTGCCCAGCAGGCATCTCCTTCATTGGTGTCACTGTTATGGTCATTATGGTCACTGTTGAGCACATGACACCTGCTGCCCACCACCAGGAGCAGCCTTCCCAGGATATCAACCTACTACATGGTTTGCCTGTATCAGGGTTGCCAAGAAAGACATGATTCATACAGGTCCCAGAAGGAGCAACACTTTACACAGAGAAGAGACAGCAAAATGAGTGTGTGCGCCCCATGAACAGCAGGTCTTTCCCCACAGCAGAAGCAGGGGGCTGGTCGGCATGCATTCCCTTGGTATTGCAGGTAAAGGACCTCATTCCCTCCCCAGTGGGGTTTGAAATACACAAAGCTGGAAATGAGCT